CATTTCAGGCTTTGGAGACCTCAGGCAAAAATAAAAGATACGTGCAACCAAAATTATAAAATAAAGAATGAAACTGAATTTTTCAATGAAAACATTTATGGGATTTTTTTGTACATGAAAGGCTTCTCTGAGTTCAGCTCTCCCCTCTTTGTGCCACTGTGAGTTTCTGTTGTTCTTTTTGGAAGGACTTGAACCAAGTCCCTGATGACATATGAGTTCTCAGTCTGGACCAGTGACATGATCAGTCTCCTGAGTCATCCCTGTGCTTTCATGACACAGTGCTTGCACAGCTATGCCTTACTGACACTCACTGATTCCTAGATACAAATGCCTGTTACTGTAGAGTAAGGCAGAAAACCAGGAGCAATTACAATCCCTGCACAGCCCTGCCACACAGGACGCACCACCAGGATATACTTGAGCATGGGGCCATGTAGCAAGACCCTAAACACAGGATTTCTGCCAAGGAAATCTGTTTCTCTCCAGCCAGCACAGGGGCGAGGAGGAAGGAAAGGAGCTTCAGCACTGCTTTGTACATGAAAATAATATCAGCCCTGCAGAGCAGGAACAACAAAACTGGGGCAAACTGCGGGGAGGGGAAAGTTGAAGGTGCCTTACAATTTAATAAACTCATGCCTGATTATTAAAGGAGGAAAAGCAAATGCAAGAATCTTGCAGGCCTGCCTACACAAAGGACTGGGGACAAGCCGAAAATAAGCTAATCCCTTCACAAACCCCTACAATTCTTCTATTCCTTAAACTTACTGAGTTTAAGACCCATTTAAACCTTATCCAAACAATTCCAATCAGCACTTTATGGACATCAGCTGCAGCCATGGCACCGACAGCTATGGTCACATTAGCCCTGGAGGCAGCACCACCTGCGTGTCCTCCTCTGACAGACCCCGCCTTAGCTGAAGGTGGAATGCAGCAGAAGGTGGGATGGAGTCACAGAAATTCAAAGCAGCAGCATGCAGAGAACCAAATTTGTAAGGCAAAAAGAAGAAGAACACACAGCAACTGTAAGAAAAAAGGCAGGGGGTGACAGCACCCAGGTAAACTGAAAAAGGAGGAGGAGTCACAGAACTCCAGAATGGGTAAGATTGAAAAGGATCACAGTCATTTGGTCCAAACTCCCTGCTCAAGCAGGGCCATCCTGGAGCACATGGCACAGAACTGTGTCTGGAAGGTTCTTGAGTATCTCCATGGAAGGAGTCCCCACAACCTCCTTGGGCAACCTGTTCCAGGACCTAGTTACTCACACACTCACCTGGTCCCCTCTCAGTCATCTCGTCTTTGGGTTGAACAGGCCCAGCTCCGTCAGCCTTTCCTCATTATAGAGGTGTCCCCATCCCTTAATCATCCTCACAGCCTCCTCTGGGCCTGTCCCAGGAGCTCCATGTCTCTCTGGTACTGAGGAGCCCAGAACTGGACACAGAACTCCTGCCCCTCACCAGGGCTGAGTAGAGGGGCCGGATCACCTCCCTCAGCCTTGTCCTAGGGTGATGTTATGATGCTTGTATCCCCAGTCGTGTGTTCTGTTTGTGCCAGATATTATATTCTGTGCCTTCAAGACTGGCCCTAAGAGCGAAGGCAGGGAGAAGAGGAAGCACAGAGTTTGTTATCAGGGACTGCACTCACTCCTCCACATTGTGTGGGACTGTGTGGTCTGGGCACAGATGGGGCAGAAGAGGGCCCTCCTTTGCTTTCTAGTTAGTTTAGCTAGCTGAGGCAGAGAAGTTTTCCCTGGACTGCTTTTCTTTCCCTCTTCTTGGAACTGTTTGAACCTGCTCTGGCCTGGGAACTGGGGAGCACCGAGAGCTCGCACTTTGTGGCCTGCCGGGGCCTGCTCTGGGCAGGGGCCTTTGCCAGTGCCGGAGGGATTGATAACAGAGCGAGCACCCACGGCAGAGACCTTCTGAATTTGTCGTCTCTCAGAGTGGTGAATGAGTTCAGTCATCTGGTATTGTTGATTTTTTGTGCTGGAGAGTGCTTTGCCTGTTTAAATAAACAGGTTTTTTCCACTTCTCTCTGAGGAAATTTTTCCTGAACCGGTTGGGGGGAGGGGCTGTGTGGGTTTGCTTTCTGGGGGCCCCTTTTGGAGATTTTCTCCCAAATTTGCTCTAAACGAGGACAAACCTGCTGCCAGTCCTCTCCCTAATGCACCCCATGTACCACTGGCCCTCCTGGCCACAAGGGCACTGCTGGCTCATGGACACTTGGTGTCCACCAGGTCCTTCTTTGCAGAGCTGCTTTCCAGCAGTTTGGCCCCAGGGATGTGCTGGTCCCTGGGGTTATTCTTCCCCAGGTGCAGGATCTGCAGGATCCTGCATTTGCCTTTGTTGAATTTCAAATGGTCCCTTCCTGCCCATCTCCCAAACCTGTCCAAGTCCTTCTGAAGGGCTGCACAGCAATCAGGGACATCAGTCCAAAGCTTCTACCCACTTTATGTCATCTATGAGGAGGCATCTGAACATTCATCCAAGTCACTGATAAATAAATTAAACAGTACTGGCCCCACTATTTAACCCTGGGGGACACCACTTGTGACAGGCCTCAAACTGGAGCCCATACTGTTGATTATGGCCCTCTGGGATCTGCTGTTCAGCCAGTTCTCAATCCATGAGGAAGGAGGAACTGTTAGAAGAGTGAGAAGATTTTTCATTAAAAAAACCCCTCTGCTCTTCTCAATGTGTTTATTTTGAGAACACATTCATTGTGCAGGTACAGCTTATCTCTATAGCTCAGAGAAGAGAATAGATCAGCTCTCCGCTGTCACCTCGACTGACAGACAGCTGTTGCTGTGGCAGAGTGACAGCTGAAAAGCCATGTGATTGATTCCAACACTGTCTTGCTGGATTGAGGCTTGTGTTCACTCTGCCTTTATTGAAGTGATTTCTTCTAATTGTCTATTTAACACATTAAAAAATACTGGGAGATACAGGTCAGTGCTCCAGTAAGCTGATGTTCAGGCAATGTTTCCCAGGTACAAATGAAGATTTGCTTATGCTCAACACAAAGGCTGAAGAGAAAAAAATTAATGATCTTATCAGGTAAAGCAGGTGTTGTGGTCACACCACCAAGGTCACTAGCATTAACAAAACACTTTGAAAACAGAGCTGTGGCTGTTCCCAGCAAGGTGCTGGAGTGTTGTAGAGATAATGTACTCAGCCTCGAGGGGAAAAAATATGATGCGCTAACACTCGCTAACAGCTGTTAATGGCAGAGAATTGTGGACAGGAGAAGGATGTTTGACCTACCAGTCCTTTGGAGGAAAATGTAAACAACTGGCTTCATTCCCCACTGTCTTGCCCCTATTATGCCCTTCTATGCTTATGCCAAGTAAATGCAGCATATATGCTAAATGCTCTAACAGCAAAAGACCTGAGCTTTGCCACCACTTGCATGGATGTAAAAATCTGCAGAAACTGCAAGGCAGAGGAAAACTAGGGCGTGCAAATGTAGGGAGAGGGGTTTATGCAAAAACAAAGCAAACAGGGAGACTCAGTAATGCAGATATATAGCAACTAAATGAAAGTGGCATCTTTTAACTCTGCTAAGTGGTGCCCCAGGAGTCCTGAGTCACTGCTGCTATCTTCCACGACAAAAATACATTGTTACTGCCTCTGCTTCCTGAGCCCCAGGCAGGGCCATCCATCTAGGAAAGAGAAAACACCATCCCTTCCCCATCAGCAGACTGGACACCCCAAGGCCAGCTGCACACTTTGCTTCTGCCTAGCTGACACCTGCAGGACGGCCCCCACAGGCCCTGCCTCACTTGCAGAGCAATGGCATTTCAGGATGAGGAGCACAAGTTGTGCCATCATCCGAGCTCCAACACCCTCGGGTCCTGCTCCACCTATCTAGCAAATCCACACGTGCCTTACAGCCTTGCTTGAGGCTGCAGCAGTGCTTCGCTCGCCATAACTCTAAAGACTGATAAGGATGTAGAAGCAATAAAGAAGCATTTATACTGTCCATTGCAGTGAAAAAAAAGAGATGGAAAGCAATTTACTTGTAAATGAGCATATGGATCCAGAAGTCACTGGGTGAAGCCAGCACAAGACACTCTGAAGAGCCCACAAAGACCTCCACTTTCTCAGTGACACAGCACCACTGAGAAATATCTCCCTTCAAGAGGCTTTGGACTAATGAGGCTGAAATTCCTAACCGTGTCTCCAGAGATGGAAAATGAACTCTGTGGGGCCCAATGAAAACATGCACTGCTAGGTCAACATGAGGTGCACCTTTTCTGAAACTTGACGTGCTATCCTTTCACAGATTTAGACACAGATTTAACATTCAGCAGAAATTTTTAGAAACCAAACCAAAGGGAAAACCAGAGCGTGACAGTTTGTGCCATCTGCATGGGATATGAGCATGAGTTTTAATGACACTAGTTAAAACATTATTAAAAAAATTACATTCAAATCCATTTACTGATTATAAACCCTCTAACAAAAAAAAAAGCTAGTGGCATGTGCACTTGCACCTGCTGCTGTTGTGTGCTCCAGCTGACTTCTTGCATAGGAGGTTCTGCATCAGTGGGGATGGCAATTCACTGCTAGGCATCCTTCCTCCCTTCCCATCCTTTTTCTGCTGCATTAGTAAAGCAGAGTCTAAAAAACCATCCAAAGTTACTCTGTGGGGTGAGGGCCAAACTGGAAATGCATACTGTTAGAGAGTAGGCTACCACTGTGATGAAATGAGAGCTACATTTTGACAGTATTCTCTGGTGCTTGCACTGTGCAGGAGGTCAAGACTTTACTATGCATACTCTGATCCTCCTGGAGACTCAACACCTCCTCAACTGCACAGCAAGCATTTCAGGCTATTTCTATTTTTATGAACTTTCTAGACACTTTCCTCATCTTCCATTTAAAAATGTGTCTCTACTGTATCCCAAGCCTCTCCACCCACTAAGCTATTTGCAATTCCTCTACCACTATTGAAATAGATGCTGTATAGAATCAGAAGCCACAAGAAAACAATGAGAGTAGTAAGCAGATCTGTATTTAATAAAGAATTTATACAGTATGTTGCAATTTTTAAAAACATATTTCTATAGAAAATAACAGATATATTATTTCCCCTCAAGAGCTACATTTCTCATTTTGACATATTGTAGACCAAACCTCTTTTCCCTTCTGCAGTTCCTCAGACTCCAGAAAGTTGCAGGTTTAACTCCTCAACAGTAGTGTATCTGCAGACTAGTTCTACTTCACACCTGCTTGGCAGCCCAATACCAAAGGAAAGCAGGAATGCTTTCCCCTACTGGGCACCGAATTCTCCTGCAGCCAGAGCTCAGGGCTGCACCTGTGACCCACCAGGTGCAGTGCTGCAGCAGGGCACCTTGTCCCAGTGCCTCAGAGGTAGCTCAGAAATAGTTCGGGTAAGGGACAAGGATGGCTGCAAATGTTCTTTACATGAGTTTCCATAGCAATATGAGCTTTATACATCACAAGAGCCAAACACATATAACCAACATAGAAAGCTTCAAAAATGCTGGGGACCTTGCTTGTTTTTCCTGTATTTTGGCCATGTGTTCCTCTGGTACACTTCAATCACAAGAAATTTACCTCATAAAGAGTTTTTGGAGAAAACATCTCAGGAGTAATGCTGTGTGTTCATCTTGAATTCCCAAGTGGTGTGTTCCTATTTGGGGTGCCCAGAAGAAGATCAATAACACTCACACACCTCTGCTGCTGTCACTGTACGTGTACATGGCCAATGCCACCCTCCAAACAGCACAGGTGTAAGACAGCTGCCTAATATTTGTAGCCCTTTGAGAATAAGTAACAGGAATGGCAGCACCCAGCTGAAACCCCTGATTCTTTCTATTTACGTTATGTTAAAAAACCAAACAATTATAATTCTGCCTGGATTAGAATACAGGATCTAAAGGCAAATTAAATTTCACCATCCACATTAAGAAATCTATTCAGCTTCTGATCTGGATCCGCTTTGAATTCAGTTGAAATGGGGTTTGATGAAAGACTCCTGTTCAGCAGCAGATATAATTATCACACCCATCTTAATTATGATGTCATGAACTTGACTTTAGGATCCCCAAAGGAGTATTGAAAGCTTGGTCCAGTTACACTGAACTTGGTCCAGAACACTGAAGCTTATCCATCAAGATAAATATATTACCAGTTCTTTGATACAACAGATGCTTGATGAGTAATGGAGCAAATGCCTTTTTAACTATGGTTTTTTAAAAAGATTATTAAACTGTACTAAAGTGTGTGCTGTTATCTTTGAGGGGAAAAAAAGTATAATATATGAAAAACAATTATTACAGAGCACATGGAACACAATTTTTCAAGCACTAGTTTCAGAATTAAAAACATTTGAACAAAGGTTCTCTGTGGAGTGTCACTTTGTAACCAATTCAAGGCTTTAAATAGCTATTGTTTAAAAAAATTGTCAGTTGTAGAAATTGTTTTCCCTTCAGATTCCAAATCCTGTCAGACCAGGGTGATTAAAATGTTGCATTAAAAAAAAAAAAAAAAAGAGTAGGGGGAGGCAATCTAATCTCCCCGAATAAAAGTAAAAGCAGCAACTCAGTTTTTAAAGTATCATGAACAAAAGGCTGCAGCCCATCTATCATTCACATATGGATCCATGTAATGATTCTTCAATTAGAATTATTATCTGTACAGCAGCTGAAGATTGAGAACTGCTGATACACTGCAGATGAGAACATTTGCTAGTCTCTGGGCTCCAGCCTTTCTTAAAAAATGATGATCACACAATATAGATTGCTCAGTTTATATGTGTATTAAGCTGCAATGCCAGCATTTACATTTGCAACATTACAATTTTGCTTTCTTAGGCTCAGGAGAATTTGCTGCATCTGGTAGATTTTATTTGCTTTGTATCTTAGGCAATTGTTATGAGCAAAGCACAAATAGGCAATATTATTGCTCCAAGTCCTTTGTTTTGTTGATTATCTCAGATACTACCAAAAAAAAAAGTAAACTAAGAGTGGGCCTGTGAGATGGGTCATTCAGTGTCAATTCACTTGCACTCTATTATCCCAGTGCTATTTTTATAAGGCAGAGCCATCTGCTCCCTCATTTCTTCCACCTGTATAGATACAGATAGTCTAAGATGCAACATCAGAGGGAAAGAAAAGCATCTCACACAACAGTTGCAGGCTCTGTTTAAGAGGAGAAAGTCACTTTGGTGATTCAGGCTGCAGCAACCTGAGGGGTCCCTGCCTACCCTTGTACCCGAGCTACGTGCTGTCACCCAGAAGATGACGGAGAAAGGTAGACACATAAATAGCAGCTGTGAGAATGCCTTATAAATGAGCATCTCTGATTGCTGTTTCTACTAAGGATTCCTGCTCTGTGAGCCCTGAGTATGTTCTGAGCCCAGAGAGCCTTCCCAGATGTCTCCCTCATAATGCAGAAGCTGGAGGCAGCAAGTTGGCTCTTACAGATTTTGAGCCATGTGAAAGCCTTTAGTGATGTGTGTATGTAGAGATTAAAAAAAGGGCTGCAACTTAATTAAGAAGCTTTTCTACTTCACTGTACAATCTTGAAGAGATCTTCAGAGAAGGCAAATACTGCTAATGTATTTGTTATTTGTTTTACACTACACAGTTTGGCCACTGCCATCTTTCACAGGACTGCTTTTAGTGGGCAAGAGCTACAGCCATGAAATCTCCCTGTAACTGTTACACAAAGGAAATGAAACCTCTGCTCACGGGTACATGCTCCAGTGTTATTTCACTACTTTATTATAGACATTACTGAACAGAGACTAAGAAATTTATACCCTTACTTGAAAAATACTTTTTATCCTTTACTGAATCTCCTGTTTCAGATACACTGTAAAGAACCATGTCTTCTCCACTTACTTGGAAGGATATTGCCATTTGAATTACTTAAAATTTCCTTACATTTATGCAACATTAAAGAATGGTTCTGTCTCTAAAAAATTAATATTAATTAAAACTGAAGACATTTATAGGGATAAAGCAAGCAAACAAAACTGAAAACTGGTACAAAAGCTTACCAAAGCAATATAACATGAATACTCAGTTCAAGAGTTCTTACATTGTGGTGGGACACATTTCTCAAAATATTTTAGATTTTCTTACTTCAGGTGGCTTCCCTAAGATCTGTGAAGAACTAAAATGACACAAATTTTGTATTTGTTTTCAATTAAAGCCATTGCCTTATTTTTTTTTTTTTAATAAAAAAGGTTTAAGAAGTAAAATCCAAAATATACTTAGGTCTATGAACTCTTGTTCAGAGCACTGTTGAAATTTTCAGCTTTGATTGCAAATGGGAAACATTTCAAAGACAGAAAAAAACATTAATCGAGAAAGCAGTTTGATCTGTGTTAGAAGTGACTGAATTACTTTCAGCAGACAATAAATTATGAGACCAAAGAAGGCAGAAATATCTTCCTCTCAGAGAAGGCAAATGTTATTTTCTTAACTCAGAATCAGAATACTACTCATCAAAATGCTTATTTTAGCTGCTATCACATATCTCCCTAAACTCTTGTATTAATAGTGCTAACATTCACTGATCATCTAAATCAATAACTTATACTCATTCAGGCAATATCAAAAACCAGGAAAAAAGGTATCACTAAGGCCTGGTGGTTTTCACTGGCTGCTCCAATATACAGAATATTGAGGCAGTAAGCTGCAGAGATGCGGCTCCAAAGTGTGTGGAAGTGTTACTGACTGGAAAAACTGAGGTACAGCATGTTCTCATAAAAAAATAAAAAAAAGGGGAGGGTGAAGGGAGGGGGGGAAGGGGAGGGGAAAGAAAAGACAAGCTATTTACATCTCCTTACAGCCACAAGGGCTCAGAGGCCAAGTTACCTGACATGTCTCCAAGGATGTGTTTGTACAGCAAACAGCAATGGTGACTGCAGTCAGGGGAGCTGTACCTGCACAAGCTTTAATCAATCTCATGTGTAACTCCAGCAATAACAATGTGGAAGCTGCAGTTCAACTTAAGCTGAAGATACAAGGGACCTCATTAAGCGAGAGCACCTTCATGATGATCAGCACATTATTAACTCCCACATACTAGCATCACCTCTTGCATGAATTCATTTGAATGTGCTGGACAGACAATCTCTCAAAAGCATCACTGTTTCGAAAAAGTGATTTACAGAGGGCTCTGAAGGATACATGTCTCAGATCCCACTCAACAAAGTAACTCAAACATTTCCTGACACTTAGAACTCATTAATGGTGGCATCCTGAACAACACTACATTACAGACAGGCAAAGAAAATGCCTTTGAACGTTATGCTTACTTTGAACAGTGAATGACATAGAAGCTACGTACAATGTAGTAACCACATTACTTAAGAATAACTACACATTTTGCAACCTGCAGCACTGTCGCTCCAGTGATATGGAACCTTTGTCTGAGGAACAGACTCTGAATCTATTGTTTGCTTAATGAATTCAAATCAGCAACTGCACAGATCCACAGAAGCAACAGTGCCAATGGCAAGAGACCCTACAAAAATGGAAGTATATCTATTTCAACAACACTGGACTAAAAATGCCAAAATACTCTCAGGTCTCACTGGTTCTTAAAACTGCATTACTTCTCATGGTATTCCTCCTTTCCAGTGAGTTTTTGATCTGATCACCCTATCAAAAAAACAAAACACCCAAAGCCAAACCTCCCCCAGTGACTGTACCTCTTCACAACCCCTGACATTCAGTATTAAGGCTCCTTTAGGCTGCTGAACTATGCTGCAAATGTTTTCAAGAGCTGAGTACTGACAGGATATGAGGTACTCCTGGTTCCTCTTTGCCACTGGAGGCTGACTAGTTCTAGGTAGTTCATGACAGGTGAGAACACCTGAAAAACATTACTATTCCAACTCTGTCATTTACCCACACAGTCTGAACACTGTATTTAGTAAGTGCTATGCCAACATTTGCATAAATCCTTGAAAAGAAATTAAAAGTGACACATTCATTAATGAAAAACAAAGTATTTTGAGAGCAGAGAAATGTTGCTTGGGTGGTCTATATCTAGCAGGGAATTCAGTCACTGCCACAGACAATGCTGTAAAACAAAAGCATGTGAATAAACATACTGTGATTTGGTAAACACAAATAGCCACACACAGACTGAAAGACAAACTGTAAGTCTTTGAACATAAAGCTTTACTTTGGCAGATATCAAGTGCATTTTTCATACACTGCAAAAAACTCGTGTCTGGTCCCTTGTTCTTGGAGAGAGTATCAACTACTTTCTTAAAGCTGAATTCCATCCAAATTTTTATTACTGTTTTCAATAAAAAGAACATAAGATCAAGAATAAATTTCTGCAGTGCAGATGCATAGTCCTATACAAACCTGACATACTTCAGACAAAACCTCATCTTCCTGTGTTACTAAATCTGTATCTTCTAATCTTCAAGTTGTTCTCTGGCTGCATTAGCATCACTGATTTCATTTTTACAGTTTTCTTGCTTTGTTTCTTTTCTAAAAGTCTTCAAACACTTGTCAAGTCTTTTCAAGAATACATCTACATCTTGCTTTTTAATTCCAATTGCTGAGGCAGCATTGAGGTAAGCACAAGGATAGTCATTTGTATGTGACATGAAGCCTTTAAAAGTGTAGTTATTCACAGTTTGTACAGACCCACAGGGAACAACCCTGAAACAAACAAACAAAATCACGATTCAGTTAAAGATGCCTTGACATTTTATGTGGTACTCTAGGTTGAACACAATTACACAAGTTCCTATTGAAGTAGGGAGTTGCTATTCCTACCACTGATGCTCAATACCAGCATAACTTCAAATCTGTTGAAATGCCAGGTCAAAGCATATTTTACAAAATAATTACTTATGTAACAAAAGGGAAAACCTGAAACCTTCACATCAGGGAAAGAATTCTAAAGTTTTAACTTCAAAAATGTAAACTCAAAAAAATTCAGCCCAAGATGATTAAAATTACAGAACCAGCCAAGGTTAGGACAGACAAAGAGAGCATCTAACCACAGTAAATATAGATTTACTGTCATTCATCTGTGCAGGAAGTGGAATAATCCAAGCTAATGAAGCATACCTTCTGATGTGGAAATATTCAGCTCTGCTACAAAAAAAATAACATTAAGTCTATGGCAGAAGTTAGCATGGCAGCAGTAATATTCAGATTAAGGAATGCTGCCAAAACAAATTTTAAATCATTCTCTTCTTCTAAAAGGTTTAAACCAAAATCATTAAAGACTGTTTGGCTTGCATTTCATTTTAACAGTGTCTCTAAGAATAAATTCAGCTCAGACTGGCTCAGGTTATAGATTTTTAATTTTAAATTTTTTTAAACACAATTAATTCCAGAAAGCAGAATTTTTTTCCATTTGACAAAAAGCTGTGTAGGATATTAAAAACTTACTCCCTTGACATCCAGCACAACCATATTTGTGCTGCAAAAAACAAAACAAAGATCCTCCATTGCAGCTTACACCTATACTGTAAGATCAGACAACATCTGGAAACTAAATGAAATCAAGGGATACTAGGGAATAGTGACACTAAATTAAATGGGCATAGATTATCTATTTAGGATACCAAAGCAGACATAGAAAGCCTCACTGCCAACTCAGGCAGGGAGACATTACTGCTCTATAACAGTGATGACAAAGGGTGATTACTCTCTAACTCGTTAGGCTGCCTTCTGTAATCATGACACAACTGGTATAAAACACTTCACAGGATTTCCTACAATATATGCTAATACCCCCCCACTCCCCCAATCTTTTAAATTCACAATATCCTTACCTTGCTCCAGAAACTTGTCTTGTGAAAAGCATAGATCCAAGCTGGGTAACAGCAGCATCATTAGTTTCATCTAGAGTCTTCAGTGACATGGCTAAAGTAACACAAGGTCAGGTTAAAACTGCTACAAAGCTACTTTTTCTCCAAAGAACTACCACAAATGACAAGTTACTTTCCAACAGCAAGAATCTAGTCACATGTTTGTGTTTGCATACAAAGAAAAAAAAAGAAACATTACATATAATTTTTTATTTTTCCACAAGCTGTCATAGATTACCTCTTGGTTAGACTCTGTGCAGATTCTGCACAGGTGGGCAGTATTATTTTGGTGTTCAGCAGAAGTTTTGGTTAAAACAAATACCCTGAGTAGGAATTCCATAATTTCTTTTACAACTAAGATGATGAGTAATTATACCCTAATTTATTTTTAAATCTATTTTTTATGAAGTATTACTACATGCTAACATCTTCAGCCTGTCTTGAATTCATTTCTGTCAAATGAGTATGTTGAACAGGAGCAAAATAATGGGTCCAAGTTACTACACTACTTTTATAGTAGCTAACCTTTTTAGTAACCTTATTGAATTATTATGCGATTAGAGCGTACTGATGTTTAATATATAGGAATGGTATGTGGAAATGCATTATGAATCCACAGTATATTAGATTTTTTTTAAGTTAAAACCCCAACAATTACCTAAGGAAATGGGATTATGTGGTGTGTCTAACAGTCTCTCATTGTGGTTATCTGCCAGCTTCTTCAGCTCACTTGAAAGATACGAAAACATCTCCTGAAAAAAATATGCAATATTTTTGTTATTAACTATCAAACAGAGAAAATAGCACCTATTTCACAAAACTTTTATGTCTCCTTTATATCCTACAGGTGCTCAGTTGATTCTCTTTTCATGTGTACCAAGTAAGGGGATCAGACAATTCTCTGAAATAATTCTATAAAGGAACAGCTCCATTTCCTGAGCACTGTTCTTATCTCTCAAGCTGATACAGAAGTCTCTATCTGGTCTAATATATGTGCTTGGGATGTCACTCATTCTCTCCGTGGCCCTGAAACCTAGGGAGGTAGAAAATCTTGAAGAGATTCCCACTGCACAGCAGGTCTTACCCCACACCACTTTTCAAGAGCCTCCTCGTGCCCTAGTCCCCTAAACCACTGAGAATGAACTGCTGCCATCACAGATGGCCACGTTTTGCCAAATTGCTCCTTGCTTTGTCTTCTTTAATACATTCCAGACTAAAAGCAGTAAATCTTGCTACCATGTATCACACAATCACATTTCCCCCTAGTGCAGACATTTCTTTTTCTGTATGAGAATAAAAATTCAGTCTCTTAAAGAGGCTATAAGTACACATTTGACTGTATTTTGTTTCACACAATATACACTCTCCTGAATACTCAGCTCTGTTGAGCAGTCTGTCCTTTCCCTAGGACCCCACTCCTGTTCAAGCTGACTATAAGAATGGAAATATCTGAATTTCTGCTATCACTTAATTGGATTGCACCTTTACTGTGGAAGTGTCATAAGACTGAGATTCATAAATACTTTGGCACAGATACAAGCCACACTGCACATAAAAGGCTGTTTCTCTTACTTCATCTGTATTTTATATCCTCCCTCTTCCCCTGTAATAAGCTATGATAATTGCTCATGCTCTTCCTCAGTTTAATACATTCCTTTTCAGATATCAGCTCAAAACACTTATGGGCAGAGTGAGAATAAACACCATTCTTATTCTAAGCTTTAGCATTTTTTCCATCCTTTTTAATGCTTAGTCTCTCATAAAAACTAGCAAAACCATACAGACACTGGGTAGCCTTTTTAAAAGATATTAAACACCAGGCTTCTCTTCTTTGAGGCCATAAAAATTGTCCTGCTTATCTGCTTCAGTGTGACTGCCTGTTTAAGCATCCTCATCAATTTCTTGACCTGACAAGTGATTTTTCATTCTTTAAATAGAATTACCTCTTCTGTTTGTAGAGCAGTATCCTGCTTTGACCTATGGACTCTGACAGATATAAATTACAGCTTGTGATCAAAATTATGCTTTTGAACAGACCCTCCCCAAGGTCTTATGAAACCAAATGAGGTTTGTGGTACCTAAGTTAGAAGAATGTTACAGCTGCTCTTCTTGAACCACTGCAGGAAACCTTGCCTCCCTTCATGAGCAACGAAATGAACATAGCTCCCCACCTGTACCTCCTAATATCACAGAACAAATAGAGATGGAGAGAAAAGAGTAGCCTCCTACTGTCTAAATGAATTAGGCTATTGATACAACTATCCACAAAAACATAAAGCTTCTGTAATACTTGAAAAACCCCCAAAAATTGGGAAGTATCTGTGTCTAATTATCAGAACTTGAAATCTGTGAAAATCATTCTTATTTCTCATAAATCAAGTGATTTTATGGTTTTAGTTCAGAGTTTATTTACGGTTCACTCACAGATGCTGAAAAATATTCATGTTTCAAATGTTCAAACACTTCTGCCTTTCCTCTGGTCCCTCACTGTATAGAAGCACATTATTAATTTGTTACTTTCCATAATAAGCATCACTAATATACTAGCCTTTTATTAGTATTTATTCTGGAATACAAATCATAAATTAATTTGTGCTCCCTCTGCTGGCTATTTACTTCTAAAACCGAAGCAAAATATTGTAGAAATACACATAAATTGTGAGATAAATTCATATATAAATTCTCTGGAGATATATTGCTGAAATTAGTACTAAGAGAAAATATACTGGAACAAGACCAATTTCCAAATATTTTTTGTGTGTTTTATCCAGAAAATTCTCTGATACATCTCTTATAGTATGACTGAAAGGACTGCTGAAAGGAATACTGGAAGTATTACTGAAAGTTGGTATAAAAAGTTACCCACTGCATAAATGTGTTAAACTTAATTAAATCTATTCAATGAAATTAGGTTACTATATGAGCCCTTGCATACATAGGAATTAGTTAAAACAAGGGATAATGGAAAGATGGCAAAAAACCCCAAGTATGTATTTTCATCAGTTTGACTAAAGCTACATGAACACAAATTCAAAGTTTCCTGGTTTTTTGAACACTATTTTGCATCTTTCCATTGGAAGCCCTCTAGACATTTTATAGTTTCAGAAGTCTGTTGCAAAATAGATTAACTGCCTTTCCAAAAAAAAAAAAGGATTAAAGCAATATTTTTGTGAGGTCAAATCTATAACCAACCTCCGTTATAAAATATTTCTCATATATGGAAAATTTAAAAGCACCCTAAGCAATTATATATAATTGAGCTCCTACATAATAGATTTTCTGTAGCAGGCACTCAAGTTTTCTCCAAAGAAGCCAAATATAATGCTGAAGTTATACTGAACAACTCAAGCACTAAATGTCAGTTAAGTTTCATTATTAATTCACTCCTTTACCTTAGAAACTTATCACAAAACCTCATTAGGCTAGGCAAATGAACACTAAACTATGTGGAAGTGTCTTTCACTTCTGGTTCTGTAAGCACCTAAGCCAACAAAACACCTTAAAAAACAAAGAACAAGTCAACAATACTGTCTGCATCAAACAGGCCAAATAACTCAACTGTTTGGATGAAACAGTCTACTTTCACATACATATACAAAAATATTTTCAAGAAGTGTTGCAAAAACCATGTAACAAAAACATGTGGATCATACTATATTTACACTATAAATCTATTTGTAATAGAACCTACACTAGCATAGGTGACTCTTCATTTGCTCCATTGGGATAGGCACTGTTCTTGCAAACAAAAATAACAGGAGGGAAACAAGTAAGGAAAAAGCCAGTAACTCCAGAGAAAAAGGAGGTACTGAATAAGCCATCAGTCCCATACCAGCTGACAAAGAGGCAACTGATGAAGGCCAGGAAAGTTTTTGTGCAGAACTGAAACTATCCCAGCTGGCTCTAAGCACCCAGCTTGCTTACACCCTGAGACTGCAACACTTTGCCTTTCTCCCTGTGTCACTGTCACCTGAAAAGACAAGCTGTCCCCAGGGAACGGTCACAGAGCTGGGGATGGTGCAGAAGAGGACACTGCACAGGAGTCATTTTACAGCCTCTTCACCCTCCACACAGGCTGCCAGCTCTCCTACACTTGCCTGAGACTGATCTGGTCCCACCTTACTCTGCAGCAGCAGCTATTTGATAATGCAGCCCTCACACCTCCTGCTCCTCTGCTGTGATCTGACCAGAGCCCCTGGTGCCCCACCCAGCAGAGGAGCTGCAGGGCTGAGCATGGACACCTGCCAGCAGGTGAGAACCCAGATGAGGCTCAGCTTCTTGAAATGCAGCCAAACACAGGACAAACTGTATGTGTATGTGTGTGACACCTGCATATACTAAACACCTTCCTAGGCAGATTCTCCTGCACTGCAGGAATTTTTGTTATGGATTTACACTAGAAAGTTTTAAACACATGTAATTAATTACAGAACCTTGAAATCTTTATATCATCAGTATCTAACAAAGTGCCCAGTAAGCCTTGCCAATCTGATTTGGTAACACTAATGTTCACATTTTTTTAAAGGTCTCTCTTAACAACAGCAATCAACACATTCTCTCTTCAGCACTTGTGAGACCTTGAGTTCAGACTCTGTGACCCACACTTCAACACAGGCTCTAAGTATGGAGGCTTCTGAAATTTCCATTCATGCTTGGCACTTGTTTAATTACACACAATTTAAAACAATTCATTTAAACTAATTTGCCTCCAGCTACTCTAAAGCTTGAATATGGTTACATATACCTCACATGAGGAAAATCCTCCAATATTCTTATATTTGACATGCTACAGTACAAGTTGACTGGAAAAAGAGGAGTAACAAATGTCTATCTTGCTTTGAGAATAGCTGATTTTTTTACATTTTTAATATTCCTCATTAAATGTCTTTCCTCATCTTCCATCGTAAGTAGAGCAGCAATACAAACTCACACTGAACTATGCAAATAATTTATTCCAATCAGAACTACTACATCAATGATAACTCATGAAACATAAACCCAGTATTATACTGAATTGTAAAACCCAAACAACTTCCTCCCACTCGGTATGATTTTAAATATTTTAGATACATACTCTATAAGGACATAAAAATAACTCCAGTTTTACTCTCAAAGTATGCAGACAGATGGATACCAATATAAAAAGCTCTATCACATCCCACAGTAACACAGAAATGCATTTAAGAAAATGAGAGTTATCTTGATTGTTAAGTCTAATGAGGAAATCCATAACTGCTGTAAACAAAACCATCACCTCTGCAATAATACTGGTATAATAATTAGTTAAGTGGATTAGAAGGACCACATTAGATAATAGCAGGTATTAAACCTGGTCTGTAGGTTTCTGAATGCAAACCCTGAACGCAGGGCTCTTGTTCTCCACGAAATTTGAGATGATAACTAAGCCTGCTTATGCCATTACACAGTTCAACAACTATAGTTACTTCATATGGTTTAGACACATACACACATATATGAAAATAGCAACTTTTATGACCTAAAAATGTAAAATACAGGACTTAACATAACCTGTACTGAGGTATCAAAAGTTGCTATAAAAATACAACCTTTACATAAAGTTCTTTAAGAGCAAAGATGTTAACAAATTTGACTATGTACCAGCTGTTTTCTGCACTGCAAAAGGACCTAGAATGGCCTACTGGGATCAGAAAATCACTGTTATAACCATCACATAAACGTATAAAAAGGAATTCTGAAAAGTCAGTATCACTACATATAATCTCATACTCTTGGACACTCCACAACTCCCAGCCTGTCAAAAAAAATCTCACTCCATGTACATCCCTTCCTGTATTAAATAGCTAATTTGTGTAGAATTAAGACTGGGCATTATTTTGTTGTTCGTGTGAGACTAATCTCTTCTCAGTAATATTCTGGGCTTTCTGGCCTAAGCTCAAATAACCTGAAGTAACACCCATACAAATCAAGATCAGGTAAAAAGAGAAAGGAAAAAAAGATACCTGAAGTTTTTTATAGCTGATATTTTTTGTGTGAGTAGGTGCAGCTGCACCAATATAGAAAGGAGTACTCAATGTCAAGCTATAAATAGCTCCTGCTGGAAGCTTAATAGCTCTGCCTCTGCTTCCTCAGAGCACAGGCAATAAACTACCACTATTGCACTTTTACAATTCAGGAACAAACAGATTTAAGCAAAAATGTTTCTCTTTCTACAGCAAATCCAATAAAAGAAACATATTTATGCCATATATAAGGCTCTGTTTATAGAGTATATTCACATTAGAAATAAAAAGGCCTGACGTTGTAAAAATGTAATACTGTGTTCACTTTAGAATTCTACTTCCAAGAAAATTAGGTGACTCAAAGTGTACAGCTATTCATTAAGACATTTATGAAAGAATTATTATTTATGACTCGGACAATATTTCTCATGCCCTTTATACATCAGCTACTGGTAGAAATCTAACAACTAAATCAGCTTCATAGAAAACAATAAATTCACTTGAGATTCTTCTGGACATAAGAGTAAAAGGGAAAAAATACAATTTACTTTTAATGAAGACACAAAAGATAAATCACAATACATACAACAGTCCAGAATAAAAAGTTGCAGTAGAAGCAAAAGTAACTGCTTTCAGTGTTTCACAAGCTGGTTTCACTTCAGTTGCACAGATGACTTCTTAGTCACTGTAAGGCTGCTAAGTTGGTTTGATTTTCTATAGCCTAGCTATTCCTACGGGACCTCAGATCCAGTACAGAGTTTATGGATGCCCTATAAGCAGCTAGAAATAAGTCACAGCACCTAAAACTACTGCTCTGCCACATAATCAGAGACAGCAGCAACCTGTCAGCAGAAAACAACTGGAACATAGTTTTCAAACAAAATAATGAAACAGATAATGCATTATCTTAAAATTACTATTTTAATAGTACATAATTCACAGCATTTCTTATAGGAGGACTCTATAAAAAGAATCTTCTGCATTATTATATAAAGAGAGAAAAATCAGACTTATTAATTCCAGAATTAAGGATAACTCAAGATATACAATTTCCAACCTGACATGCACTGGATTTTTCTGCAGTGCAATTATACCCAACTTAAAACCTGTAGTCTGTGAAAAGCAAAGAAGAAACTAAGTTGTGTGTTTAGATGAATAACTATAACAGCAATACTCTTCTCTTTTTGTGGCAATGCACAGTATTTATAACCCAACCAGAAGCTGTGATTCTCCAGAGAATGTGGCACACAAACATTTAATTAAGCACTATGACAGCACAAAGGCACAATAGGGACAAAAGAGGAAGAGCACAGACCCAGGGTTACGCTGGGTGTCCAATCTCCTGTCCTGGAAGCAGTGTGACCATGATAAAACATGGTCAGTACAGTATTTCTCCATTTAAGTTTTTGTGGACAAAATCCTACTATTTAGTCACATTTAGGAACAACAAACATGAACACCGTACAAGGTAGTACAGGCCCTCTGTTTAGCCTCCTGGATTGAACAAACAACAACATGGAAATCATGCTTACTCACAAGCACCATTTAGACAAGGAGTAATTGTATCACACTGACCTTCCAGATTCAGAGCTCTGCCTCAGAATAAGTTCAATGGCTTTCTAGACAGAAACTGGATTTACCACACAAAGCAGTTTTGCAACAGAGCTGACTTCAAGAAAATACTGCTTGCCAAAAAGCTTACCTTTCTTTCTTTCAGTAACTTTTTGTAGCCGCTGGTTCCCAGAGACAGAAGTGTAATGAGGACATCTAAAGAAGGAGATGCAGATGCTCTTCCTGGAAAAAAAAAACCCAATATATACATTAAAGTGGCAAAAAAAAAAAAAATGTGAAAGAAAGCTGATAATCAAGTTTTCTACAGCAATTCTGTATGCTGAAATCAGCCCATGAACCAGTTACCTGGATACATTTTGCTGATCTCCTGAATGAAGGACTCGTTGAAGCCAGCAATGATAGCACCACCTACTGGAACCATAAAATTTTTGTCCAAGCTCTGAACAAAAGCATCTATTCTGCCAACTCGAGCACCCTTTACCAAAAAAGACAAAAAAAAAATCCACAGCATAAATTAGAACTAAGGGAAATGTGATAGCATAATAATTATATAAAGTGTAGCCAAAATAAATATAATTCCTGAAACTCTCGGATACTGCATTTGTGATCAAAACATAAAAATCACAGTATTACCTCTTTTAGCACTGCTTACTATTGGTGCCATTGTCTGCCTAACATAGAAACTTACAATTCCCATTTTGCTGTGATTTAAAATATCAATTTTAGTTCCTGCAAGTCTAAGTGTGGCTCCATTTCAGCAACAATCAAAACGAAACCCCTCAAAATTTAATGGGAATTATACAGTTAAAATTGTTCAATCCTGAACACTTTTTACAACTCTCACACTAAAAGGCTATGAGTTAATGCTTCATTAGCAAAACTTTTTTCAATACATATATAAATTTGCATTAAACAAACAGGCTTATTACAGCACTCCTTCTTCAAAGGCTGCTTTCAAAATCAAGATTCAAGTACCTTCTTACATGAGATATTCCCCACATCCTTATACCAAACCACTCCTATTTTCAAAGGAAAAAATGTAGATTCTGCAGTACACCTTCAATTTGAGCAGCATGTAACTGTGTAGTGTACAATTAAAAAGCATGAAGCATAAGAACCTGAAAAGTAGGTTAAACCCCATACATATCAAAGTACATGCAAATACACATATTTTTACAACTACATACTAAATATAAGAAGTAGAAACAGAGTTAATACCTGTGGCAAACAGAAAAAAAGCAGAGCCAACTAAACCTCATTTATTAGGTCGATATTTTGATAGTCTAATGCACAGAAGACAGGAAGAACATTCCAAGTTTGTCAGCTTTTTGTTGGGAACATGAATGCCAGCAGCTACCATTAGATTTACTTGACAGGAGAATACCAGAGGAAAAGCACAACATGAAATGGCCTCAAAAGCTTTTTCCTGTGGTACTCTTGCAAGCCGTATTCACACTGTGCTCAGCATATTCATACATCTAAGTAGTCATTAATAACTACTTTCTCATAAACACAAAAATTTTCTAGCACAAGTAATAAATGTTGTAAGAAAATGTAAAAATAAATCAGAGCTCAAATATATACATTTGCATAAACAAGGAACAACCAACCTATTGAGTCTAGAAAAAACATCAAAACGAACGCAGTAAAAATTATATTTGTAGCATTATAGTCTGAAATGTTTATCATTAGAAAATTTCATGCAGCAAAATCCAGCACTTCCACAGCCTCATTCACGTTAGTTTCTCACTAAATTTGAGCAAGTTAAATACAATAAACACATGCTAAGTACATTACAAATAAGGCATATACTATTTTCTATTTCATTAATTCCCTCAGTCTTTCAAGATTTAGAAATGCCAACATGATGTTCTTTCACAATTGTACATTAAGCTGGTCTGTGTCCTGTTAGTAATGTCTTAGCAATCAGAAAAAAAAAAAACCCAGCATATTTTACATTACCAATAGTTCAGGATCCTCTGGATCCTATTAAAATATAACCCCCTATTCTTTTGAATAGGTAACAGAAAAGAGAATATTAAAGAGCAATGCACATACAACACAATGAGGAAAAATGCAAGAATTCTGTTTCATTACTGATTTCAGATACCAAGCAACATCCTCTTCAAATTAAACAGCAACAGAAATTAAACTTTTTTGAGCATAACATAGAACTTAAACCAGTTTCCTCAGCCATTCTCTGTGCCAACAATATTTTAACAGCGACAACATCTATCAAGTGTTGCTGTACCTTCAATTAAAAATTTGCAACTCATTCTGTTGGAGGCTTAATTTTGATTCAAGTATGATCCATTATGTTACTTTTAGTTAACAACTTCAGGAAATATTTTAAGAAAGCTTATTAAGGGTATTTTTTTGGGTTACATAAAAAGCATGTAACAGAAATAACTATTATGCTTAAATTCTATTTCTGTCTGTTGTGCTTTCCCAGAAAATTGTTCACATATCAGACATGCATGGGATTATTCTCAAAGCTTTGTAACTTCTGATAAAATTTGCCACAATCACCAATTTACTTATACTTGCTAAAAAATGTTATTGGAAATACACAGCTCCTACCTGCTGGATGAGATGCATACATTTTGAAGACTGAACTCCATATGCATTGTTGACAATATGTGGAATGTCATAATTAGCACAAATTACAGACAGCTCCTCCAGCCTGTGAGCATAAAATCATAATTAAGAGAAGCATTGATTATTGTAGCTCAACTTACAAGTCAGACCATAAAAGACTGAAAGGTCTACAAGGAAGCCAGAATGAGAAAAGCAACTCTTTTGATTAGTACCTCAAGGCAGTATTTGTCACCTTAAGCTAAAAAGTTAAGATGAAAATTCTATTGGCTTTTACATATTCTGCAAATTGCTGATCTAGTCTGACATTTTTCTTGCTTCACTCAAATTTTTATCAGGACACCAGTTAATATACCCCAAACCATTAAGCTTTAGATAAAAGCTTTTTTTGTTGTTGTTGCTTTTACTATTAACTACATAGCTTTAGCTAGTCACTAGTTTTTCTTTTCTCTATTATTCAACATGAAAACAGTCTACAGTAGCTTCAACAGTGTCTTGGGAATCAAAAGCATCCTGTAACAGAAAGTTTTTACATGTTTCTGTTTATCTCAAAAGAACTACTATTTTGATCCTTTGGCTGGAATCTCATGCATGCTTGCATGCTTCAGGTAAACTGATTAAGAAAAAATAAATTCTTTAAAGGAACAGAAAGCCCTAAAATGTCTGAATATGGACATCAACAAATTGAAAATTTGTTCAGCTGTTTACTCTTCACTTGCCTTTAGAACCCCCTGAAATCACAGAGAGCTCAGCCTGGATTGATTAATCAGCCAAATTAAGATTTATGCGAGCACACTGATCACTTTAAGTAAGATCCTTCAGCATTTTAAACATATTTATATGCAGTACCCTTTTCTGAAGCACTCCAATCATGCTATATTTTAAAAAAATTACTCATGATTTTCCCCAAACTTTTGAATCTATTTTAGAAATATAATCTATTTGAAAAAATTAGGCAATATAAAATAATTTAAAGTGATGATAAAGGCAATATTACCTTAAAAAAAAAATCAGGAAATTCTGCTTCCAATGCATTTTTACTCTATCTCCTCCTGTACAGCCTCTCACTGTAATTTACTGACATACATATAAAATGTGACAGAGTATAAAAACATTTTCCAAGAGGTGACATTCCTTTGCGTTCTATTTCTATTACATTTTCTAGTGTTGTTCTGCAATGCAAAATTCTGCTGCAAGTGTCAAATTAATTTTTCCAAACATAAATTCTTAGGAAATCATCATCACCATATTATCCTTTAAAAAATCAAAAGGACTTTATAATTAGGAAACACCAGCAATATAATGTACATACTGATCTTCTACAGTCAAAATAATTGTGAGGAGCTGCATTTCCAATAATTTTTCACGTTTATCAACACAGAATTACAAAATATTCCAAGATGGAAGGAACCCACAAGGATCATCGAGGCCAACACCTGGCCCTGCACAGCCCAATCCCCAAGAGTCACACCATGCACCTGAGAACATTGTCCAGATGCTTCTTGAACTCTGTCAGGCTGGTGCTGTGACCACTGCCCTGGGGAGCCTGTTCCAGTGCCCAACCACCCTCTGGGTGAGGAACCTTTTCCTGACATCCAACCTAAACCTCCTCCAGCTCAGCTTCTGCCCATTCCCTTGGGTCCTGTCACTGTCACCACAGAGCAGAGATCAGTGCCTGCCCTCCTCTTCCCCTCATGAGGAAGCTGTAACTGCAATGGGAACTCCACTCTGTCTCCTCCAGAGTGAACAGACCAAGGGACCTCAGCTGCTCCTCATGTGGCTTCCCCTCATTAATAGAATACTTGAGGAAATATATTATGCAGGGCAAAGTTTTTGCCTTGTGACCTGATAGTTCTTAATCAGACACATTCCTCACCCTCTAGAGACACTCAGTGGAACATAGTTTCCCTCTTACAGGCATCTTGTCAAGTGCAGGCACAGAATTTGACCAAACTAGAAACACAGAGAGTGTACAGCTATTTATATTCATCTTTCTCACCTTCTGAAAATTAAAGGAGCAGTAACCTCTCTTCTACAAGTACTGAAAACAGAAAAGTCTTTTTTCCCTAAAAATATTCTATTGAACAATTAGATCCATTGTGCAATACAGAATGAGAATGCCACAGTTTGAAGAGAATGTGTCAGTGTGCAAGGGAAGGAAAGAATACACAGCACCTGTATGTACCTGCACCTGCTTCCAAGGCCTTGAATGCAGCATTGAAAATGCTACTAATCATATCAGAAAAATAAAGCATTAACAGAAGTTGGCTACTGAAGTTCGTAATAGTCACAAATACAGAAGTATCTCCCACTTTATTCTTCCTTTCTTTCTCTCCTGTTTGTTAAAGTTCATGAAAAGAAAGCTTTGTCCTACTTTTTCTACTACTGAAAGTAAAAAGATACAGAATTCTGCTAAGTACACAGACCAACTGAAAAGGACACTTTCCCTTTGGTCCTCTTAAATACAGTAGTTTTACAGACACCTTACAACAACAGTAGGTAGAATACTGAGAAAGAAGGTTTATATACTAGAGAATTACTCCCATAGAAATAAATAGTACTTCAAAGGAAAGCCATAGGTATGGCAGCCATAAAACTACTAAAAATTTTAAAACAAGGCCACCACAACTAAATAAAGCCTTACAAATGAAGATATTTCAAAACAGACATTTAAAATTGCACCCTCCAGAAATGCTGTCAGGGCTTTCCTTCCCACAGGAAGATGAAGGTTATGGCCTTCAATAGTTGACAGTTTCTTTTAAACAGAAAGCACATTCAAATCTTCCTGTATCTGTGGTATATTATAACATAGTGCCACTACCTAATAATTCATCTCTTAGTTGTAGAGGACAAAACAATAGCAGCATGTCAAAAAGAGGAAGCAGATAAGGAGAAGATTCATTTACCCAAGCTATAAAACAACCATTCAGTTTTGATAGCTGTGATTTAAGTTAGCCAATAAATCTGCAAGTCAACTTCAAGCAATGTTCATAGTATTCTGACAGAATTATATGGTTTTAACTCCCATCTTTCCCTCTAGCAACTAGATTAACCTATGATAAATACTGGAGGATTTTTTAAGGTAGGAAAGGAGAGTGAAATATATTTTTACTTGCCACATTTTAGAGTCAATAACATTTCTTTCCTATGCTTGTGGAGAAGAGTAGAAAAGGCAACAGTACCATCAAAAAATGGCATTACCTATGGAGCTACATTTCCTGGATTATGTTTCCATGAGAAACTACTTTTACTACTTCCATGAAATTTTATGAAAACCACGAGCAAAATGACATGAATTTCACCACAAGAGAGCAACATTAACCTCACTTACATAACAGAAGAAAAGTCTTCTGTGTAACTCTCACTTTTTTAATATACTTTCCTGGAAGGGGATTAAAGAACCTTTACTAATTGTTGGCAGAAACAATTTCAGGAAGATGGATGGTCAAAACATGGAGGTGTTGGTTGGGTTTTGTTGTTAGGGGGTAGGGAAGATGTTTATTTGTTTTAACAGTAACAAATAACACACCTCTTACAAAGATTGCTTACCTGTCAGGTACCCTTGGAGCAAAGCAAGATGTTGTAGAATGCACACAAAGGATATTTTCAGCACCAAGAGCCTTGATTTTGGCCTCCACTGCTTCAAGGTCTGTCCGTAGCTCATCACCTTCTAATACATTTTCTATCACCACAGGCTCAAAACCTGACCAAAAAAAGCAAGAATTTAATATAACTCAACAAATCTGACTAATTGTGGGGGTTTAGTTCCAGTATACATTTGAAAAACACATCGTGCTACTATTGTTTTAATAGATTCTAACAAAAAAGACTGTGCAAACCACACAGATTGGCACCTTCTGATCACAATTCCTAGGACACAAGTTTTTGCATAAATTTGAGAGAGAGATTTGAACCATGAGTTTTGATTTTACATAACTCTAAGGACAGCAGATTAGGCACCTTACTCTGAGAGTGAACTGTAACTTCCTTAGTATTGTTCTCACTCGACTCCTTTATGCACCTCAGTACCACTGCACACACCTGCATTTTGCAAGGCATGAGGAAGACAGCATGCACGTTTTAATTACATGTTAGAAATCAGGAGTGCACAAATAAAGCAGAACTACCATGCATTAGGCCTGTTTTGTATCTTACTACAAGGGTATGAATTGATCACTCTGATAGAGGGAAGTTTCATATCTGTTGGAAGAACACACGCTGCGTCATCAATCAGTTACCTTCTTACCTGCAGTTATCATTGATTTAAAGCAAGATTTCTGGTCTATACGTGGCCAGATAATGTACTTTGCCTTTGGTCTCTTGTGCCTCAATGTTAAAAAACACAGAGTCAGACTCATGCCTGTTGCCATAGGAACCACAAAGCAACTGGTCACTGTCCGGACACCTGCATGTAAAAAGCAAGTCAGAAATTAACATGAAGAATCCATCATGTAACTTCACAAATGAGAGTGATTTTTCAAATTTACACCTACCAGCCAGTTTTATAACATCCAGAACTACTGAATTAGTAAGCTTGTTCAAAAGGCTTGAACCTGCAGCTTTGGGCTGTACTGCAGAAATATCACCTGACCTTCCAATTCCATGAATCAACCTAAACAAAAAAAGTTGAAAACACACATCAAGATTTCCATGCTGCAAAGCCATAAACCCTGCTGACTGAAGAAAATTTAACTTAATAACTGTGGAAAACTTTGTACACAATGCAACATCAGTACCTGCCACAATCAATTCCATTTTAACAAAGTACATGTATTTGTATGAAATTTTGGGGTTTTTTTAACAGTAGATTAACAGTGTTCCTGCATGCAAGTAAAAACTTTAAGATGCACAGCAGCAACACCTCTAGCCTCCAGCAGGTTTCCTTTTAAGTTTCGTTTTTTCTTTTCCATTTAAGTTTCCTTTTAACACCTCAGCACTTCTTGATGTATGTCCAAATAGCATTATAAATGCTGACATGTTCAGACACACAACCAAGGAAAACAAAAATTAGTTGTCTATAGTGTAGGGTAGCATAGGCATAGTGGTATTATAGATACTCCCTTGACAAATGCTTCATCTCCATAAGGCAAGGAAATAATATATACAAAGTGATATACATGGATATATGTATCACTTTGCCCATCTTACACATCTTCACTTCATCTATCATTTTGCTATTCAATGTTATCTCTCTTGGAAAAATATGTTTCTCTGAATTCTGTTTATAAATTTTGGTTATAAACTGTGTTTGTAAATATTGAACATTATTTAGTTCAGGAGTGGAGGATCCTGAAGTCATTTATAGAATACAAGCTTACAGAATTAATTTACCCATGGCAGAAATGCAGCAGCTGCTCAAGTAAGCTAGTAACAGCATATACCTACTTATGGCTTTAATTCCTTTTTTTGTCTTGGCAACAGAATAAAATGCAGTTCAATGAGTATATGATATTCAGAACTTCTTGGAGCATGATTTTACAGCTTAAATTTATTTTTCTGTTTCAAGTGCTAAGTTGAAATCAACAAACACTTGATAATTAATTGAAACTTACATATAATACTCACTCCACCCAAAATATTTTCTTCCCTCATTCCTGCTATGTTCTTAATAGCTGTCTCATATCAGTACTTTTTATTTTGTGCATTTATGTACTGCTTCCTGAGAAGTAAACTTCCCTAAAACTGCCCCTTTATTAAGCTAAAAGAAGAGACAGCTTGAAAATCGTCTTCCTCTACCTCCATCACTCCCCAAGTCACCTGTAAAACTTATTGCAGAAATAAGTGAGGGGAGGACACCTTGCTATTGCTGACACTCACAGGAGAAGCGAGATGTCAGGTGACAGAGCTGCATTGGAACAGCAGTAGTGAGCACAGCTCAGGCTCCTCTGCCCAGGAGCCAGGTACAATTTCCCCAGCACTGTCCAAAAGCAAAACTTCCCCAGATATTCTCCCCTCCCCTATCATCATATCCTAGCCTAGAGAGCTGCACACAAAACTAAAAAAGCCAAACTGATGTATCACTGGATTTCAACATGAATTTATCATGGTACTGTAGGGCTCATGAAAGCCATCAAGCCTAAGTAACTCAACCTCCATGTGCTTACCAAGCTTACTAAACTTCTGGCCTCTAATATACTTTTGTGTTTATCTTTGGAGGAGAAACATCCTGGAACTTTCACTTGGATTCACTCCTGCTGGATCAAACATCACAGCAAGATACTCAGCACGGCACTCAACACACACATACAAAGTACATTCATAAGGAAATTAATGCAGAGCCTCTAAAATTATAGCATCCAACATATCTATTAAGTAAGTCTGAAGGGCTACAAGCTAATAAAGGCACTTTTTGTCTTTAGAGATCTCCTTACTTTATATAAAATCTATTAGAGATGGACTGGGGTTTCATCTGCTTATCAACTAATCGCATTATAAAGCTATTAACAAATATTTAAAAATACAAATAGTTGTTCACTGTGATGTTCCATAATGGGCAACTACAATGTACAGTAGTTTTTAATAATAAACAGATGAAAAGCTGCACCTTGTTATAAAAGGCATGTAATGCATAATTATTTTAAAACAGTAAGATCTCTTCCTATTTCTGCTTCCCTTGTAAAGGACGCCTCAACAACTTCAGCTTCTACAAATTCAATGTACAGGACATAATCCTGAAAAAACATTTATGCTTCATTCAAGACTTTCTATAGAGTTCTTAATGAAAATTTAATATAGAAAGCAGTTTCAATTCAATAGTTAAACAAACCACAATAAAGTATGCCATTGGAAAGTATTAATAATAACCTGAATAATTCAAAACAGTCAATACTTCGTACCTGTAATGCCTTCGGGCAACAAGACCTGATGCCACTCTTCCTTCCCTCTCACCAACGCCACAGTTGCCCAGGAAGTTATTGCTATCCATTATAGCAAGTTCATGAAGAAACAATTCAATGGTGCTTTCATCCCATCCATCTTCAGGACATTTCCCCTTAATAATAATAAAAAATTATTAAATTTGGAAATGAAAAACTAACAAAACTTTATGCAACTTGTTTGAAAATTGTTACCCTTCTTTCTCATGCTAAGCAGCAGTCTGTATTTTCATTATTCTCTTTTATACTATCTAATGTTATGAAGCTGTATCCAGAGAAAAGTTAAATAATGATTTTTCCATGTGTTAAATACAACTACATTAGCACATCCCAACATTAAAACAATCAGGATATCTTTTACCTTCAAGTGTTCTCTATGGTACACACAAAACCACTGCAGGGCATACATGTTAATTACTCCCTAAAAGACTACAGATTATTTGATGTATTCTCTAGACATGATGTACAACTACAAGAACTCAACAGTGAAAACTGCACAAAAGGGAAGATATTCAGATATTAGAGAACCAAAAACATGAGCAGAAGGGAAATATAGTTTTAATGTAATACATCTTCCTATCTACACATATTACTTTCCAGTTATTATCTAATAGGGAAGGAAACCATTTCCAAAATATATCAAAACCTGCAAGAAGAAACCTGCTCTTTCTTGTGCTCTTTACTGAATTAACAAATGCATCCATCTTTGCAAATTGCAGACAAGATTCTCAAAGCAGGGACCCATAAAACCATGAAGATTTTTTATAGGTCCAGAGGCTTTTTCACATGCCCCAGCAACAAAACAGCCAATTCAGTAAGTCTAATTAGTTTATCAAGTGCGGTATCAAAGTTAAGTTGGAAACAGTAGATGGCATGACTGAGGATGCTCAATAATGAAACATTTGCTAATTCATTGACAATGACTTTTATACGCTGAAGGCAATGAAATACATTGTTTTGGCACCTTACAAGTATCGCTTTTTACCTCATGCAACAATGTGCTAGTATCTCACTGTTTTTAAACATTTCTTTAACTGTTCGCTGGGCCTTTCTCGGCAGACGCTTAACCCAGGGCAGTAATTTTCTCTTCTTCCCAAACGAGGCCTTTCACTCTGGGGCTCCGTCAGGTCCCTGCCGGGCCGGCAGCGGCTCTCCCGG